ATATATATATATATATACACACACACACACACACACACATACACATATATATGTGTTTAGACAGTGTCTAAACAAGACGTAAGAGTGGAGCAGAAAGTATCAGTAGCACGGTTAACATCAAGAGATGATAACTGTTCAGGGGAAGGAAGCAAATATGAAACCATAGCAGATAGCCGGGAGGGTGAGAGTGAGCGTAGGTTACGTCGAAAAGTGACATGTGTAGGGGTATGTGTTGTGTCAGGAACCATGTTGAGGTTAAGAGTGAGGAGGAAGTGATCCGAGGTGTGCAGTGGAGTAACCAGCACATGATCAGTGGAGCAGTGTCGTGTGTAAATAAGGTCCAGTTTGTTGCCTGATTTGTGAGTAGCCGTAGTTAATACTCTCTTGAGATCAAAAGAGGCAAGCAGAGTGTGGAAGTCTGCAGCCTGAGGTTTATCTCGGTGGATGTTGAGGTCTCCAAGCATAACTAGAGGAGTACCATCCTCAGGAAAGTTTAAGAGCAGCACATTTAATTCTTCCACGAAGTTACCTAGTGGTCCTGGGGGTCGATAAACAACTATAAAATGGATTTTAACTTGCACTCATTTCAGCATTCCTGATTTTCAGGAATAGTTTGTTTTCCATCTATTTTATTTCAGCGTGTTTCGAGCATGTTTTGAATAGTTCCAGGTATTTCTGCAGGTCTGAGGTGTTTTCTCTCTGTCTCAGGGTCACATCAAGGGTTATATTTCCCATCAGCACCAGAACCCATTTCCTCCGCTGTCCAGCGTATCCTAACCTCAGCTCCCAGAATGCACCTGTTACTCCACAATTCCGTCAAAATTGTGGAGTAAAAGTTCGCCCATTTTAATTTTTTTATTGATTGTCAAATAAAAATCACACTGTTTTGTACATTTGTCAGGTTTATTTCATGCTGCTGCGACATAAAACATATGCGGTAAATGTTCATGTGTTTCAGAACAGAGCATGATCATAATATTTCACCTCAAAATCTCTTGAAAAAAGAAAATAATATTCTGCATAAGGAAGGGGAAGCCTGTTTTTTTAAATGTAAGATTCTTTTTTATTGTAACATTTTCATTTTAATTGTAACAGTAAAGCATTTACTCAA